GTGCTCATTTCCCTGGACCCACCCTCCCCTCCCTGCCTGCTGCTGCCTGTGCTGCCCTTCCCTCACTGCTTCTTCCCTCTGGATTTAGGGCTGGTCGTGGCAGCCGCTGTTGCAGTCCTGGCATCGATTTTCTCCTTCAACTACTTCAGTGATTGATATCCAGTGATTAAACTCCAGCCACCACAGTTCCTGGGAAGTGTTGGCCATTCACAAGATGGAAATAGCTGGGGTTAAGATAATAATTCAGAATTGTTGCCTAAATCTCACCAGGTAGATGTGCAATGTAAACTTTAATGGTAGGTTCAGTTACCTTGTTCCATCATACACTTCCTAGATCAAATAGAATTATACACTTAGAGAATCAAGTAGAGGGTGAATCAGGTTTACAAGAAACTAACCCTGTCACTCTGTATAAGTGAATGATAATATTATTTTCTGGAGAGGTCCCTTAAAAAAATATAGGATCTGGCTCCTTTAATGGTAAATGCTGCTCCTGTTGTTTCTCAGGGTATTGGTAAAACCTGCATAATGACCTGGTATGACAATTCCTGCTTTAAGGGTTCCTTTGCAAAGAGAAATCTTATTTTGTTACAGTTAACTTGGGGGAAAATTAGTTTTAATGAAGCTAGCATTTAACTGTACACATTGTTTTAGATAATACTGGCTAACTAGCATAAAATGCATACGAATAGTTTCTAAAAGTTTCAAAACTAGACCAAGGCAGCCTGTAAATAGCTTGGTTCAAGACTGAAGAGCTCAGAAACCAATGAAATGCATGGCATTGCTGAGCTGTGTGTATACTGCTGCCTTTTGACTCAGTGCCTCCTGATGAGGGTATCTCTGTCCAGCTCCAATACAATCATTGTTATCTTGCAATTTTAACTATTCCTGTGAAAGTTACACCTAGACAGGCCTTGTGTGTTATCTTGTAGATACAGGCAAGTTATCAAAATTACTACTAATCAGGATTTTTAGATTATAAAAAGAGAGCTTTCCATTATGAGAGATTCTCCTGGGGATGTTGGCCAGTTACATGTTTACTTGACATGAGGAAGGTGGAAGGAGGGAATTAATTCTAGTAATAAAGGTAATCTGTATATGAAATGTGATGTTTACTCGGAACTGAACTACAACAGAAAAGAATTAAAGGCATTTTAATACCAATGCAAATTTGTTCGTTTGTTTGTTTGTTTGAAGGCAGTGGAAGACAAAAAAATAAACCCTTTGATTCTAAAGCATAATCAAGTATCTACTGGGATACCTTTATTAAAGGTAACTCTGAGAAAGGCGTCTTTACTACTATTGCGTGTGCATTCTGTTTTACATGTTTGGAAAAAGGGGCTGCTTTTAGTATTGAAAGTTTTAGTATTGTAATTTAGTATTGTAAAGTATTTAGTATTGTAAATTTTGAAAGACCATGTTGACCTTCTGTCCTCAGCATTGCTCAGGTGGGGATTCCTAGAGGAAGATGGTGTTGTATTGGAGGCACTGGTTTCAGCTGTGGGTTTTAGAATTGCTTTTTATTCTGTACCACTGAGTGGAATCAATAGGCAGGAATCAGGAGGACAGATGACATCCAGGGGAGGCTAAGGGTTGTCCAGAAAATGGGAGAAATTTTATAACATTCCTCAGAATATGGTTGGTTTAAAAATTGCTCTGCTACAATCTGTTATAAGGAGGAACAGGGGTATAATTAGAAGAAAGGTGCTATCTCTCTTTTTTTTTTTTTTTCTTTTTTTTTTTTTTTTTAAGAATAGTGTGTGCTTTTGGAGGTAAGATAAAAAAAAGATTATTCTTTAGTTGCCTGTAACACAAAACTCAGCCACTCAGAAGTGAAGTACAGCATCTCAGACATCTGAGAAGAAAATTGTCCTGAAACACTTCTTAGAGTTGTTCAATAGGGCTTGTGGGATGCATTATTTCAGGGATTCCTCTGCAAAGACCTCTTCCGCTTTTTTCTTCCCTCTGCAAATTTATTCAGTGCTCAATAAATGATCCTTTTCTTTGTGGTGATGGTTAAATTAATCCTAGAACTAACTAGGTATCAGGGATCTAATTTTCCAGTTTGGGCTTGGAAGAAGGCAAAGGAAGAAGTTGCTCTAGTGGAGATTTCAGGTATAATATAGGAGACAGTTGAAGTACCATCTGTGCAATAAGAAATTAATTAAACCTGTAACAGAAAAAATTGGTAATTTGACTTGTACCTACAGATTTAGCCTTCCAATCATCCTGCCATGAGGAAATAGTGGATGTAGAAGAAAGCGGGTTCTCACTTGTCTAAGAATTACAGGACTAACCAAGAGGGGATTTCATTGTCCCATCCTTTCTTGTACCATTTTGTACCATTGAGAGTGTTAAAAAATGAGGGTTTTAGGATAAATTAAAATGTGTGTATAAGAGAAAAGGAAAACAACCTTTTAAAAATATATCTCCTGACTAGTGCATAACTCTAGCTCAGGCTTCATTGTTGGTTTATCCTTTTCCTATCTGTCACCCCAGGACACACTGTGAAGCTTTCAGTCTGAGAAAACTCCACTGTAACCGATACTGAGCTTTGTTAATCCATGTCCATGATTGCAGATATATATTTATTTTAATATGTAAGAGTCCAGAGTGCTTTGGACTTCCACATCTGAAAATCAGGCTCTTCTAAGCATAGTTCTAAAATTTATGATACTAAATTGTTTTACAGAATCATAAATTTCTGTGCCACGAGGTTTTAAAATGTAGTTTTAAAAGCCTCAGTGGTCTGGGTCACTGAGGTTTATAATTCCTCACATCTGAGGGCAGCATTTGTGTGGTTAAATTGTGACAGGTTCTGATGGTTTACCCCAGCTGGCAACTAAGGACCACGCAGGGCTTATTCGCTTCCCTGGGGCAAGGGGCGGGAGGGTTGGGACAGATAAAACTCTTGGATTGCAATAAGAACAGTTTAATAACTTAAATAAAGTACAATATAATAATAGTAGTGGTAATAATGATGAAAAGGGAGATAACAAAAAGAGAGAGGGGAATACAAGCCAGGCAGATGAGTGTTCCCAATGCAGTCCCTCACCCCCCACCCACTGATGCCCAGCCTGTCAAAATCAAGTAGCCATCGGCCCGTCGTGGCCGGCTGGCCCAGTTCACACACTGGGCATGACATGCCATGGTGTGGAATATCCCTCTGCCCAGGGGGATCAGCTGTCCTGGTCATGCTCCATCCCAGCCTCTGGGGATCATCCCAGTGAGGTGCAGCTCCTCACTGACAGAGCCTGGGACACTGCAGAGTCCTTGACTTGGGGTAAGCTCTGCTCAGCAACAACTGAAGCATCACTGTTACCAAATGATTCTGTACTGAATCCAGAACACAGCTCTTTCCAGGCTACTGGGAGGAAAAATCACTATCCCAGCTGACAGCAGGACACTGGCATCTACTGGAGGGTTTGCTCTCAGTCTGAGCAGCAGTGACACCAGTGATAATTTGTTCCCACCTCTGCTCCATCAGAATATTTGGGGACTCAGGGACTCTGAGTCAAAAGGAAGAGTATCCACAGCCCAGGGTAGCAGGAAGGCTGTTCCATGTGCTTATTGAAGCATTTACTATTTGCTACTCAAAAACCTTCACATGGTATTAAATATATGAGTCAAATCTTACTTTCATGTTTTTAAAGTTGGGTTTTCTTCCTGCATAAACTGATAACTGCTGTGATCAGAGTTTATTTGCAACTTCATTAGTCACGAGCTTCTGTTGAGGCTTGGTGCTACATGTGTGTTTGCTCTTTGGTTTTTGTTTTTGAAATTACAGGTTGAAGAAAATCCTGCTTAAGCGCATTTAATCTGTCTCTTAAATTGGAGTGTCCACTTATTTCTTACAGTAGCTATAGGTGCAGCTGCTGTGGTGTTATTGTTGGGGTTTTGTGCTTTCAGCCTTGTTCTCAAAATAAAGGAAGCTTATGTGATGAGGCTGCTGGTGTACAGCCTAATAGCTTCTAAACCAAGTTGGATAAAGAGGGAAAGTTCTCACGGAAGTTAGGTTCCCACGATTTACATGGAGAATTTTTGGTGTGTAGAGGATAGAAATTTTTCATGTCTCTTCAAAACATGTCAGTAAAATGCAAGAGAAATATTGTCATAGCACTCAGGTAGCTGGGTACTTTTGTGATGGAAAAAAGATAATTCAGTATTTTCTACCTAAACTCCTGTAAGATCATTGGGTTTTCATGCTGTTGGGTGGATCTGGAAATGGTAGATCTGCAAATATTCTGAAGAGGTAAATGAAATGTTAGGCTGAAAGTGACTTTACCTGAGGAGTCAACTTCACACGTCAGTAAGGGGAGAGAGGACTACTCCAAAGGAAAAACTTTATTTCCCCTGGAGTTCCATCAAAAAGATGGGACAGTCTCTCACTCAGCAATTTACGACATGAAAATCATGACATTTTGGGAACGTGCTATTTGAACTATTGGTGTAATAAGGTAATGAACTGTTTTACAGGTTAGAGAAAATTGCATGTGAGATGATAAGGAACTTCATTTGTACTGCTTAGTGTATATGATGTGAGATTTCTGGAGCTCTGTTAAAATAGTCATCCACAGCAAAACAATGTTAAATGTAGCAATTCAGTGACATTTTGATAGTTTCTAAAAAAGAACAAAAGAAAAATAGTCTTTAACATTTTTATAATGTCATATTATCAACTAATCTGTGCTGTTAAGATCTTTAGTAAGATACAGGTACTTCCATCCCCTGTCAAATCCAGCCATTAGCTTTGCCAGTGTGCAGAAGTCACTGAAGTGCTTCTAATGTTTTGTTGTTTTGTATCAGAGAGAGGAATGTTTATAGTGAGTTTACCCCGTGTCTTCCTCTCAGTCAGACTGTTAAATTGTAGTTCTCAGCAGCTTCCCTTTAACAAAACTTTAAAACTTTGAGTTTAGTAAATATCTAATGAGTACTTACTAATATTTCACGTTTTTAAGGGTAAGATTATGTACTAGCAATATATTTCACACTTCCAATGGTAGGTTTTGAGTGCTGATAAGCTTTATTCAGAGTTATTACATAAGCATAACATACTTTTCCAGAAACTTACAGGCATTTTAAATGCTGCTGCTCAGCATAGGGAGCACTGATGAACTGAAATCAGTGATGCTGTGTCTATGTCAGCTGTTTGGGTGAAAAACTTACAGGAGCACCGAGCTAACTTCTCTCTTTGCATCAGTATTGAGTATTAAATGTAGAATGAAATAATGACCTAGATACTTGAGCCATTTAGGAATGCAAGGACTTTGGGGTATTTGTCCTTCAAATTGCTTGTTTCTGCCAAAGTTGGTAGAAGTGAATCATGAGCCAGGACTTGCTATAACTCCAGAGCATGGAGATGGTGCTTTGCGTTAGAGAGGGATGGACCAGTCCTGTTCCCACTGAGATGAAGGACTTGTGCTTTGTGGAGGCAGGCATGGGCCCTCATATTTTCATTTGTTTTACCTATATTTCTTAAATATCACTGCTGTTCTTCCTAGTACTTGTGGCTGGCATAGAAATATGTACAGGTCTGCCAGCTGTATGTGTTGTAAGAAGAATTCACATGCTAACAGTTAAACAATTTTTATATCTTTGTTACAAGTAAGTCAGCAAAGACAGCCTTCTCTAAGTGGGGTGGGTGTTACTGACATTGGTTCACAGCTGAGTGAAGAGGAAAGGGCAGTAAGGACTCTGGCTCTAGTTATTCAACATCTGGCTCATCCGTGCCATTTCCCAGCGTTGGAAGCTCCCTCTCAGGTAGCAGCCCATACTCATTTAGGAAAGCTTCCACATCCACAGCAAAAAACTCCTCACTGAACTGTTCAGAAACACTAATGAAATTGCTCAGGAGCTCCCCGGCCTTGTAGACCAGTAGGGAGGGGAGCACCTCACTGGAGAAGCGATCCCCGGCGCCCGTGCTGGAGGCCTTGATCTTGCAGAACTTGACGGTGGGGTACTCAGCAGCCAGGCAGGTCAGGCTGCTGTTGAGGGCCTCACAGCCCTTGATGCCATCCTCGTAAATGTGCACGATGACCGTGGTGGTTTTGTGCTCCTTCTCCACGGCATCCAGGAACTGTTCCCCATTCTGCAGCTCGCACAGGAAGCCAAACTTGGGGCCAAAGCTGAGGCGCTGGTGCATGTCCTGCATGCAGCGTTTGCGGTATTGCTGTAGGCAGCTTTCGTCCTCCTGTGCGGCATGAATCAACTCGTACTCCTGCATGCTCATCTGTGGATATCCAGAGAGTGAGGTTAGTGACTGGGAGCCCCTTGGAGCTGAAATAGAAACAGACCCACCTGTTGTTTGGAGAGCACCAAAAGCTGAGCCAGAAGAACCATCCTTCCCTACAGTGACTCTGGGAGGTCTTGTTGAGAGACAGGTGAAGATCGTGTCTCAACACCTGCCTGTCAACATGATGGTACTGAAGGCAGTGGCCACGTTTGGCAAAAATTTATGGATCTCTCAGAGTTAGTGGAAATTCTGCCAGTAGTGGGGCAGGTTTAGTTCCTGTGTTATTGGGGGCTTGGTTCCCCCCTGTTTCAGAATTAGTAAATGGTCATGAGTTCAGGCTCAGAGCTCTATCCTGACTAATAGGTTTTTAAACCTGCTAAAAATTTTCCATTGCATTAATCAAGCATACAGCATTGTGTCGGGGAAGGGAGGAAGAAAGGCCGAGCTCTGCTGTGATAGATGTGAAATACACTGCTTGTTTTACTGAAGCTACCCTTTGCTTGAGAGAGGACTGGATAAAGAGACTCACGTAGCCACTAATTAAGGTTGGAAAAGCCCTCTAAGATCATCAAGTCCAACCATTAACCCAGCACTGCCAAATCCACCTCTAGCCCCTGTTGCTGAGCACCACATTCCTATTTTTTCAATTCTTTTAGGAATGGTGATGCCATCAATACCTGAGCAGCCCCTTCAAGCGTTTGAACACCCATATAGGGAAGAAATTTTCCTGACATCCACTCTAAGCCTCCCCTGGAACAACTTGTGGCCATTTCCTGTCATTCTGTCCCTTGTTCCCTGGGAGCAGAGCCCAACTCCCACCTGTCCCCTCCTGTCAGGGCATTGTACAGAGCCAGAAGGTCCCCCCTGAGCCTCCTTTTCTCCAGGCTGAGCCTCCCCGGCTCCCTCAGCCACTCCTGGTGCTCCAGCCCCCTCCCCAGCTCCATTGTTTTGCACATGTATTCTGTCTGCATTGTGAGAGTTCTGCTAAGTTATGCAGAAATTGAGTGTAAAATTGAAGATTTTCTACTTTATAACAGGCATGTTTTATATAGAGCTGAAGTTAATTCCTTTTGCTTCTCTTACCTTACGGCAGAATCTCTCTCTGGTGTCTTTATCATCTCTGCTGAAAGATCTGTGTGGTGAAGACATTTGTCTAAGCATTTCTTTCTTACTCAGGGGTAAGGAGTCTCCATCTTCACTCTCTAATTTGAACTTCCTCCAGTCATTGATCACACCTTTAGGACCTAAGGGAGATGAAGTTGGCTGAGAAAGTGGTTGCAACAAGAGGTTTCCTGACAGTCTTATGTTCTTTGCTGGTTTGTCCTTTTGTGCCTCAGTTTATCTGTTCCTCCTCCTTCCAAAGCACTCACCAGGGGTGCTGAGAACCAGAGCTTTCGGATCAATATGTCCCAAAAACAAAAAGGGTTTTTCTTGCCTGGATCACTTTGGTGATCTGGCTCCCATGGGATACTTTGGAAGGATTTTGTTGAACTACAGGAGAAGATAACATGGATGAGGATGTTGAAACATGATAAAACTGCCATGTTGGCCAAAGATGATGTTTTGTAGACAAATATTTGATTTCTTTATAAACAGGGTATTTAAATATTAATTTAAATATTTAGTAAAATTTAAATATTAAATGTGCATAAGAATTTGGTGTAAAACTAAGAATGCAGGACATTTGAGATTATTTTTAAAAACCCCAAACAATACCTATTGGACTGGAAGAGTAACCCAATAAATAAGGCAAATAAGGTAAATAAGGCAAATGATAATTCTGATTGTAACGTAGATTCTAGTCTTTGGAGCTGCCTGATTAAACCACTTAAGTTTTGAAATTGGGAAAAAAAATAATTGCAAAATCACAGTGTTGTTTTTCAAAATGAAGATATTTAATCTGCATCTTAGATTACAAAGACTACTTCTGTGTTTTCAGAGGTGAAGTTTCCTATGGAAAATTTAGAAAAGGCCAGGTAGGCAGCTCTCATTTTCACAAGGCATATGTGATCAAAGTGAGATGTGGTATGTTATATATAGTTTTATATACATATATATATATATATATTTCATAGAATGGTTTGGGTTGGAAGGGACCTTAAAGCTCATCTCATTCCACCCCCTGCCATGGGCAGGGACACCTTCCACTAGCTCTGTTGCTCAGAGCCCCATCCAGCCATATCATAATCTTGGCCAACAGCAGCAAGGCTGGTTGTGAAAGAACCCCAGAGTTATTACATGAACTGCATTCATTATAGCTCCAAGGAAAGAAGTCCTCAGAGCAGAGGGAGGGAGTGATTGCCATCCTGTTACCTGGCAATGGGGTGGAGGAGCTGTAGAGCTGAACACAATGTCAGTACTTATAAAAACCCTTGTGATTGAGCACTGGATTAAAAAGAATTACGGTTTTGAGTGAGGTCTCTTTTAAAGTTTCTAAATGCTGTGCTGTGTTTGTCACAAGGGGCATTTTTAGCACCTTCTGGTGAAACGTTATCACCTAATTCTAACGTGGGAGTGTGGGTTTTGTTGATCTTTTGTTGTCTATTCTCCTCCCCTGGAGAACAAAGTGAAGCAATTAACCACAGGAGTGAGGAAATAAACCAACAGGAGCCATGTTGGGCCATGGCTCTTGGTGGCTTTGTCAAGTGTCCCCTATGTTTCCCTTTGCTTCAGGTCTGAGGAGGAGAAGCACGTTTGGTGTTACCTGCCTTCCATGGAGGCTGTCACTTGCCCCAAATTACCTTCTCATTGCCTTTGGAACCTGTGCTTTTGTGCAAGAGGTTTGGCCACTGGAGCAACTGGAATTCTGGGCTTCCCCAGTGAACACCAACAGTTTAAAAAACCCAGTTAGTTTCCTTGCCTGTGTGTGTTGCCTGTCCTTCAAAGTCTTCTTCCAAGCTGGTGTTGGCATTTTCTTCCATTTCAGTGGCCAGAGTAGGAAATGCTGCAAGTCCCAAAGGGAGAACAGTTAATAACAGCATAGCAAAGGGATAAGCTTGCAGCAGGTACAGCACAGTGTGTAATTTCCTGTAGCTGGTGAGTATCAGTGAAGATCAAAATACACGTGGTAATTATGGAGCTTGTCATTGACCCACAGAAAGCAGTTGGGATATATGTCAGTCTCCTAAAAAATGGGTCTGGCCAGATTCTCAGGTGAGGGTTCCTTCATTATGCTGTTCCTTCCCAGTAACTGGAGAATATCAGGGACATGGTCATGGATAACAGTGGGTGTAAAACTTCCTGCAATGGAAATGATAGTGAGCATTTTCTTACCTTTCTTTTTTTTTTCTTTTTTTTTTTTTTTTAATCCTTCTTGGAAATGGGACCCTACTAATTTTCCAAGTGCTGTAAGTATTTATTTTTAAGGGTTGCCCAAATGCTCATTTCACATACAGAAAATGGAGCCAAATATTTGAACTTGTTGGGCAAGAGACCTCTGAACATCCTGGAGCTGGCTGGGCCATGTTTGTTGCAAAACAGAAAACTGATGGTGGTTATAAATCAAAATCACTTTCTTGTTCCACCCTTTCCATAAACCAGGCAACCCAAAGAGCCAGATGACACTTTCAGGGCACTGTGATTCACCAGTACTTTTTTGTCTCTTACAATAGAGTTTTTGATGGAGAACCACATTTATTTTGAGTGTTGCCACCAAGGACATGATCCCAGATCAGTGGTGCCAGAGCACTACAGAGCAGCAACAAGTCTTAAGGCAGGTGATTTGAGTGTTCCCATTAAGTCTACACTAGTTTTTAGCTGTTCAGGTACTAAGTTAAGATTTGTTTGACTTCACAGTAACAAAGACATTCTCATGCCATGACTACCTTATTTAAAGGCTGCTGGGGTGTTAGACTGGAGTGACAAATAGCACCTTCATTTTTCCATAGCACCATCAAGGGATAATGTGGAATAATGGCTGAGCAGGACACAAGGTATCTGGTTCTTGTATGTATTTCGACCAAAGCTGATTAGCAAATGTGCAAATAAGTTGCTCCATGCATGTACCCATGACAATTAATCAAAACTCGTGGGAAACAGTGCAAGTAAATTTGAAAGAAAAGCAGGTAATGAATTAAGCTTCATTAGTATAAATTCTCTAGGTTGCTCTATAGATAGGTTGTTGTCGCTGCATAGATCCAGATTATCAGATCACTTGGTATTCCCTCAGTTCTGAAATAGAAATCTGAAGCTAATCCCTTCTCACTTGGCAAAACTAAGAATCTTTGCCGTGTCAGGGATGAGCAGATATATATGCTGGGTCAAATCCTTAAGTCATTGCCTTGGCTTACATGAACATCTACAATAAGCTCTTCTGGCTGCTGCTGCAGATTTTTTTTTTGTTCTGGGGGAAACAGAGGGTTTGATTCTCTGTGTACTTTGCTGTTTCACAGCTTTGAGCTGAAAAAAAGCACAGGGTATGAAACTCAAGCACTCAGTTTTGGGCTCATACCAGAAGACTTGACTGTGCTTTCGGTGAAACATCTCTCTTCCCAGAGGTGGGAACTGATTGCTTAACAAATGAAAGGTCTCTGTAAAATTTATGTTACTGATCTATTGTGCCCCATAAATCTGTGAAGATTAGATGAATCATAACAGCGTAAAGGCTATGTTTCACCATTCTTCTGCAGTGTGGCATAAGGCAACAACCCTGACCGTGCACAGGCTGGGAGGCTGACCATGGACTGGGAGTGGGAACTCCTAAAGCTTAATCCTGTCCCTGTGACTGAGTTGGGCTGGGAGCTGGGAGCCAGGCATGCAAACCATTCCCCTTTCAGCTCAGTGGGTCTGTAAATCCTTGTCATTCTTATCTCGGCCCTGGGAGAATGGGGCTGGCCAAGCCAGGTGTTTCTCAACCAGGCAGCTGAGGACAAGGCACATGGACAGGGTGGTCCGTGGGAGGGTGTTCCAGGCTGAGCTGGCTCTCCTTGAGGAAAGAGCAGAGGAAGCTCTTGTGTGTCATGTGTGGGCAAAGTCAGGCAATCACCTGAGCAGGGAACTCTCCCACATCCTCATCAAGGGTTGAGGTGGAGCTGTTGTGTGGTGGGTTGGGTTGGTTTTTTTTTTTGGGTAGTGAGGAGGTGTTCTTTTATGTGCCAGGCAAGCAGCATTTTCCAAAGTTAAAAATGAGCTTCCCAATAAATGGGGAAGTGTGGGTGCTGCCAGCTGTGGAGGTAGTTATGCAAGTGCCTCTGTGAGGAAATGTCCATGTGTAAGGTTGAGTCAGCACAGCAAAGAGTGTCACAGAGTAGGTCAGAATGGCCCATCACAAGGGTCTCAGCTGAAAAGGTGCCACCTGCTTGCCTCTACAAGTGTGCTGGGACCTGGTGTCCTGAGCATGGGGACAGCTGGAACCGTTCGCTGCATCACATGGCAGCTCTTGCAAGAGCATCAACCCCATGGAGAGGCTCATGTGGGTGCAAGTGGGTCATAATTTGTTGACTGATAGTGTTGTCTTTCAGAAATTCCTTTAAGGTCACCTGACTAAGGTCATCAACCTGAGTCGGCTGAGAGCATTGTTAGGCCCATGACTGAGAGGCAGCAGTTCACTGCATGGGGATGGCTGGATCCAGCAGGAATGGCCTTGTGTCCTGGAGAATGACTATCCCTGGACATCCCAACCTTCTCTTACAGATTCCCTACTGCTTTACAGCTGATTATTTTCTTTTTTTTTTTTAATTGTGTAACTGTGCAGCCTCTCAATCCCAGTACAGAGCACAGAGTCCCCTGAGAGGGTGTGGTGTTACATAGCAGGAAGATGTGCAGTGATGGTGACATGAGGATTAATGTCATCATTGGAATTAGTTATGTCTCCTAAGGAAGCATCCACAGACTTTCCAGCCCATCAGCTGCCATTGGTACTGATCCCAAGCTTCCCCTTTGTACCATTTTGACATTCCAGATGAACAGCACTCTCTGGGAAGGGGGAAATTGCTAATTTAGAAAATCTTTTGTATTTTCATTAGCTTTTCTCTTTGGTTTTGATGACTGAAAGTGGCTCCTGAAAAGTTCAAATGGCTGTAACAACTTCTTATCAGGTCTGTGGGTCATCAATGCACTAGGCCCTATTTTGTCATGAGTATAGTGGCTTTACATATGTATTTTAAGAGACTGGTCACTCTAGATGTTCTTTACTTTCCTGTCTTTCTGTCAGATTTTCTGCATGAAGAAATGGAGAAGATTTTTGTGTCCAAAAATACTTCTTCAGCAAGAATAAACCCAAATGCAAAGTATAGGCCCGACACTGCCATTTAATTTCTATGAGCTCTGGACCTGTTGTAAAACAGAAGCAGAAATCCTGTTACTGCTGCTCATTCCTCTGGTGTCATTAAACTGGATGGGTCAGCCTTACTACAGGGTAGAAATAACTATTTAATGAAGTGGTTCCTTTTTATCCAACATGGAATAAGGTTTTCTGCTTAGTAACAAAACACAGACTCATAGAATAGCTTGGGGTGGAAGGGACCTTAAAGCTCATCCAGCCACCCCCTGTCATGGGCAGGGACACCTTCTACTATCCCAGGTTTCTCCAAGTCTGTTCCAACTGGCCTTGAACACTTCCAGGGATGAGGCATGATTTTATGCCTTTGGCCTTCACAGAGATATTCCTGTCTACCCAAAATTACAATTTTGCTATTTTCTCTTGCTCATATCTTCTGAGGTAGCTCAGGAAGAAAGCACTGTAGCTGTGTACTTGTAATGAAGCCTTATTTAATCCTTGTAAAAGATTGCAGATGTAAATACAAAAATAGTGTCTTGTAGTTGTGAGTTATAGTTACAGAAGAGAAGGAAATTAAAAGTATCCCTAAACAAACTGTAAAAGGCATGATACATTCTGCAAAGGACAAAGCCAATAAATAAAACTTGCTTTCCAATATAAGAGTTTTTCCTGCTAGTCCAGTAAGTAAACATGAGTAATATTTTTCTTAAAATATAAACATGTTCTAAGCACAAATTTGCTGCTTTCCATCTGTGCAAATCCTGCTGAAAATGCTGTTTGTGTCTGGGTTTAGGTAAGCAGATCAGCAGCAGGCTGTGATTCCACAGTGGTCAGTGGGACATTGCTGGTGAACTGGGAAGCATGACATTTTGGGGACCCATTAGGGGGAGAGTGAAAACTGAAGGGTATTTGGCAGTGAGATGTGGCTGCATGTCTCTGTGTTGAGCTCCGTGTGGGTGAGCACTCAGACAGGATGTGTTCCAAGTGTTCCCTTGGCTCTTGGGAAGTGTTTGAACTTGAGCAGCACTTCCCTCTCCCAAGGGCTAATTTGAATCTTGCTTCTCTGCCCCTTTTCCCTCATTCCAGTTGCAGAATTCCCTCCCTCATTGCTCCTGTCCTCTGTCTCAAATGGCAAGGAATAGTCACAGATGTATCTGGCATATGGGCAGCTTTTGAAGCAAGCAAGACAAGAGAAGGAGCAGCCATGGATTTAAATGTTCAGGTTCCTGAAACTTGGGGAAATTGGGTAAAATAACATGGAACTGGAGCAGGCATCATTCCCCCTGCCTGGGCAGTGGACTGGAGCGAGTCCTCCGCTCTTTATGTACCCTTGGGAGGACCAGCATCCTCCTGTGCCTGCTGCAGGGACAGGTTTCCAAGAATCCTTGGTGATGGATGCACCAAAGTTTGCAGGAGGCATTAGCAGTGTTATGTAATCAAGATCAATACCAAGGTTGGAGTTCCAGCCCTTTGCTCAAGGCCCTACAGCACCTTCCATGATCTGCTCCTGGGCCCAGTGCCAGGGAGCAGCAAACATGGAGCACCTGCAGCTCCCCTTGCATCATGGGCAATCAGATCCCTTACAGGAAAGTGGCTAAAGACAGAGTTAACAGCCAAACTGCTTTGACTGCTTGTGTCATCCCAAGGTGCAAAGGCAGGCTAATTGTGTGGCAAAATGGAAGCATCCTGGGCTCACCTCAGGGAAAAAATGTGGTGTATCATGGAGTGATCAGGTCACTGTGGCTGGGAAAAAAACATAATTTCAAAACACTGGGCCAGGACTTGATTTGTTAGAGAAGAGGTCATATGATGGGAATAAAATATAAAGCAGGCTGGGCTGATGCAGGGAGCTGCCAGCTCCGCTGCACGTCACTGGGCCTGATGAGAGGGTTATGGGATTGGATTATTCCCTCTATCCGCTTTAGCAGAGTTATTCTGTTCTTTATTTGTGAGGTTGAAACATTTTAAATAGATGAGTCCAATGTTTCATTTATCCTTAAGGCTTTGCCAATTATGAAATGCCTTATGTGACTTCAACATTGTGTTGGGCTGCAATATCATAGGATTAAATAAATATCCTTTTTTCTTTATTTTAGTCTTTCAAAATTTGGCCTATAATTATGCACCAGAAATGATTCATCTTTTCTGGATTGCACATTTATTTCTGAATATCACTCTGAGACAGGAAATTAGCTCAATGCCTTCACAGCAATCAGGGGGGAATGCCTTCACAGGACAGGAGGGAGTGGCTTCAAACTGCCAGAGGGTAGCTTCAGATTGATATTAGGGATAAATCCTTCCCTGGGGGGATGGTGAGGCCCTGGAACAGGATGCCCAGAGAGGCTGTGGCAGCCCCTGGATCCTCAGAAGTGTCCAAAGCCAGGTTGGATGGGACTTGGAACAACCTCGGCTAGTGAAAGGAAAGCTTCCCTGCCCATGGCAGGGGGTGGCACTGGATGGGCTTTATGGTCCCTTCCATCCCAAGCTATTCCATGATTCTGTGGTTCTATGACTCACTTCTACCAGAGTACCACGGTTTTGTCTGGAAAGGTAGAATGCAGATACTTTAAAACAGGACTTGTTTTATTTCTTGAGAAAAAATTACAGTTGTTATTATTATTATGGCAATAGTATTAGTATTGCCAGTAGTTGTCATGTCAAATTTCATTTAGCATTAACCAAAAAATTTTATTTGGAAAAGCTTAATTTTGTATATGAAATGGTGAATATCTTTCTAAACTTGGGATTCAAATTTTGGGGCATGTTACATATTTGTTGGAGCAGCTCCACCATGGTTACCATTGTGATGAATTCATCCTTTTTTTTTTTTTTTAATTATTCTGCTAGGAAATTGATTTATCTTCTTTTAAAACAAACTTGAGCGTATCAGGCAGGGTGGCTGGATACTGAAAAAATGTTTATTTGAAGCGAGAGGGAACAGGCAACGTTTTCAAATGCAGATTATTTAAGGGCATGAACCTCAATCCATGTTTAACCTCAATGCCTGGCCCAATTTGTCAGATGGATTGGACAGTTCACCACAGTCCTCTAGGAGTCTGGGCAGAGCTTTCAGTTGATATTTAAGTGTGTGTTTCTTTCTGAACTCCACATTCATGTTTACTAAATTTGACACGTACTTCAGAGCCTTGGTTGGAGTTTATGGCTGTATTTAGCCAAGTCATGATGGATGGCAGAAGCCCAGGGGAGAGATTGTGCACATTTTTTTCCCAAGCTGAACAGATGTTTGCAATGTGTATAATCCTTGTAGTTTGTCAAAAATCTCTTGTGTCTGAGCTGTAACTCTGGCAGTGACTGGAGACAGGCACTGGAGAGGTTGATGGCTTGTGTTTTATGGAAAAGGGAAGGAACTCGAGTTGGTTGTGAGACTAATTAAAGGCTTGAAGTAGTTACCCTGTGAGGGCTTTGAGCAACTCTTACTGCTCCTAGAAGATGCCTGTGGGGCAGGGCTGAGAAGAATCAACCCTTTTGAAGCTGCAAGAGCATCCACTGTCTCTTTTGGGATTGGTTTGACTAAGAATGCCTCCTAAGGCTCTGGACATGCAAAAAATTGCCCACAATAAACAGTTAAGAAAATAGTTTTGGAATTATAACATTTATATCTGGTGGGGGTTTTTTTTCTGGCTTTTTTTTTTTTTTTCTCCTTAGCTGGTTGATGTTCTTTTCAAATATGTATTTGTAACTATAAATCAGTAGGAATATATGCTTTTACTTTCTTCATATCTACACTTTGTTACCATCATTTGGAAAAGGCAGGCTTAACTTAGCCAACAGGCTTCTTCTAAAGCAGGGTCTAAACAGTCATTATCTTAAACTTGAGAGCTAAGCAATTAAAAAAATAATGCAATTCTTCACAACAGCTTTCATATTGATGGATTATTTATTCCTGGATTTCTCTGAGCCTTAACATCCATCCTCTGAGATGTGTGAGGATCTCGTTTGCTGCTTTCCCATCACTAAAAATTTAGATTATCTTGTAATCCTGACCCTCTCTCACTGAATGAGTGCCTTTCTCTGCATCTGGGCCTCCTCTTTCCAGAGAAAGTCCCTGTGTGAAGGGAGAAGAATGAACCATCTACTGCTTTGGGCACTGGGCAAATATCCATGACCAGGGATATTTATTGACTTTGTGGCACTTAAATTAGATTTACATATTTTATGATGCTGATTCAGGTGTAATCTAAGTCGCAGCAGAGAAAGACCTTGCTATGGTAGGAAAAGGGACAGGTGACCTTGGGTGGTCAGGCAGTGGTGGAATCCCCATACCCGCAGGGATTCAACAGTGGCTGCCCCTGAATGTGGCACTTGAGGATATGTTTTGGCCTTGGCAATGCTGGGTAAATGGTTGGATTCAATTATATAGGAGATCTTTCCCAACCTAAATTCTGTGGTTCATCTTTTGCTGTCAAGAATTTCTTGTGTTTTCCAGCCTGCTTCCTTGGAACTCTTCCTGTAGGACTGGCAGAGCCAAGCAGTAGTGCTCACTTGTGACTGCCAGGTGCTTCCTCTTCCTCCATTCCCTTTTTTATTCTTCTGCTAAAGTGTCCTGGGTGCATTTCCACATCTTAGAAGATCTGATAGATTAATTTCGTCATTTCTCTTAAATGGGAAGATCCAGAGGTAAAAGTGGTCTTTTACCACTGGAGATGCTGTCAGGAGGACACTGACAGTCTGGAGTTAGGTTCACTATATGCAAAAGAGAATAAAAAATTTCCTCTATTGAACCGTGAAGCTGTGGTCAGCTGGATGTGGTTTTGGTTTGTTGATTTTTTTTTTTACTTTACCATTTACCAAAAACTGGAGTTACCATGTAATTGATTAAGTGATGGATGCCCAGGTCCTGCTCCAACCAGCTGCTCATTTGTTTGCAATACCAGAAATAACTATCCCCACTGAATGATCCTGACACACCTGCAACTATATATACCTGCAACCATAATCACAACTATGATTGCATGAAGTCAGTGATAATAAGAATGTATTTCTCTTATTACCTTTATTAACCAGAAGATGAAAGCCAAAGAAGACAGGATTGTGTGGCCATTGAAAACCCTGGAGTGTTTACATCAGGTCTGTAACTTCCCTATATCCCAGAATCACAGCCTGGTTGGGGTTAGAAGGAGTGTGGGGATCATCCAGTCCAGCTCCTGGCTAGAGCAGCTGGATCTTATCCAGGTGGGTTTGAATATCTGCAGAGGAGCAGACTGCACAGCCTTTCTGGGCAGGCTGTTTCAGTGCTCAGTCACTCACACAGAAAAGTGTATCCCTTTCCTGATGAGAGCTCTCATACCATTTATGTCATTCCAGAGGCTTCACGTTTTCCTTTGGATCTTGTGATTAACTTGTGATTATAAATGGTGAGATTTCATAAGGTAATTTGTAAATGTCTTTACATGTGGCTTGCAAAACTGCACAAAATTAGAATTATGCTTCCTTTTCAGACCCAAGTAAGACAAACCAGGCAGCTATGCAGCAGCTGAGGCATGTACAGGAGTTTCTCTGAGCATGCAAATAAATGTCATGATTTGAAGCACAGGCTGATGGCTTAAAACACATGTGCTCCCTCTCCTGCTCCAAAACATAGATCAGATAAACAGCAGAGCAAATCCTTTCCCAGGGACTTGCTTTTATTTATATAGAAACTGGAGCACAAATGCTGGACCAGTTTCTCTGTGCACTCTTAGTTGTTTTTAGGACTTCTTCACAGGGACTGCCATGGCTCTATCTAAAAATTAATCCCAAATATTTTAGTCTTCCCCATGCTCAGGCTGTAGTTGTATCACCTGAGAAGTCATCTGATAGTGTTCTTGGAGGCTTCTGACATTCTGACTGATTGCAAGAGCAGCACCCCAGTGCCAATTTTCCCCTCCCTGGGATGGGATTTGGAGCTGAGCCCAGGGGCAGCATTCTGATCTCTCGCGTGCTAGGAACGCTCCTGCCAACCCAAGGAATGACAGTAACACTGATGCTGCTGCTCTAGGTGAGGGAAAAGTGCCCCAATGCCTTGGGTTCCTGTGACAACCTTGAAGGTGAATGGAAAATATGCTCAACATGGTGCCTGAACACAATGTTCCTGGATTTAGTTACCTTCTGAAGCGGCCCAGAGCAGCCCCAGCTCTGTTGACCCTGGGGCTGATGTGATAAAATAAGCCAGGTCCTGACCCCTTCTGTTTGCAGCAGGTATCCATGGGATCATCAGGAGTCAGGACAAGAGACACTGGAGGTGTTCTGATGGATGGTGGGTTTTCTCCTCTCTGCACCTTTATTTGTGGAGCAGAGTGTAATGTTTGGTTAAGCCCAAGCCTGACTCTAGCTGTGAAGGCTGTGGCAGATGTGGGAAATGGATGGAGGCACAGCTCTAGCAGTGTGCTGTGCTTGGGAAGGGAGAGGAATTCCATGAGCATTAGAAGTAATGAATCTCCAGGATTTGTTTTCTAATGATTTTGGCACCTAAAAGCTTTTTGCTGTGGCTTCAGTACTAAATGTGACTCTATTTGTGGATTCTTCAGTGCTAAAGAAAAAGTGAATGCAAGTAAGAGAATTACCTCTCCCTTTGGGAGAATCAGACTCACATACAAACCCAGAGAGTATCATACATCAGAGAAAAACCATGCTATTTCAGATTGCCATGATGTCAGAGACTTGCTAAATGACTGTTGCAGCATTAGATGTCCCAATGGAACAGTTAAAATATTAATCAGTTTGTAAGAGCCTCATTTATTGATGTGTTCCAACAAGGTCGCTTGAAAAACTAAAAATCAAATCACAATAATAATTTTACTATTTAACAGAAACAGATTAGGCTATATGGCAGAAAACCTACATTAATCCCTTTACTTTAAACATTGTCGGAGAGTCTTGGGCAATGCATCAGTATTCATACTGAACAGAAGGATATAATCAAATTTTAAAGTCTTAAAATGATTGCTACTCTGTTTTAAATGAACAGCCACTTTCTAAAATTAATTAAGTAAAGGAATCATAGAATGGCTTGGGTTGGAAGGGATGTTGAAGGTCATCTTGTTCTGGCCCCCTGGCATGGGCAGGGACACCTTCCATTGATCCCCTAAGGCAGATGTGGGTAAACACATTCTGGTGTGAGGTTTGCCATAGGCTGTGGGTTACTGACTTTGCTGAGACAGCTTGGTTCAGTGGCCTGAAACCCTTTTTGGATGAGCTACAGAACTTGACTCACCTTGAAAGGATTCAGTCATGGATAATGGGGACCAAAATTCGCTCTCCTTGTCAGAGATGGTCCCTGGAAATTAAGGTGGCTGTGGCATGGATGCTGAGGAAGCCCCTAGGATCTGAAGGCACTATGTTTAGATCTCAGACCATCCATGTCTGCCTTCTTTCCTCCTCTGGCAGAGCCTTACTTCTCCTAAGTCTTTCTGAGCACTTACTTCATCCTGTTTGGCTTAAGGCTTAGTCTAGCTATTTTTAGCTAGGCTGTATTTGCAAATGTGCCTCTTGCCTGTGACCAAATGTGGAGTGTCACAAAGCAAACCTGGGCACATCCAGCATGGAAAGGGGCAAAGGGGAGCACCCAGGTACTGCTGCCTGGGACCTCAGGACAGAATTGAGGCCTTCCCATGACTGGTTGTGCATGACACTGGGTGTTCATCTGGGTTCCACCTCTAAACCAGTGGCCAACAGTGACCATGGACCTGGATTTAACTTAGAGTTGCCAGGGAAGGTGATGCATCATCGTGTGCTTACAGAGAGGTGAGGTCCAAGGATTTATCTCATAACTTCCTTTGCTTTAAAGCCTTCCTTATGGGATTGTTGTGCTGTTACTGCACTAAGCCTGGACAGTGTCCCTGCCCCCAGGAGGAACAGGAATGAATGGTTATCCTTGGGTTCTGCTGAAGCTGTTTTCATGGGATTCCAGCAATTCGGAAGGACAGGAATCAGCACCCCAGTTGTTTTATTTAGTACTTTGTGCCAGAATGCCAAGCCTTTATAATAAAGTGTTTTCATCTCAAATTATGGAAAAGTCTTTAATTCCATGCAAAGCAACTCTGTAAAGTATTGCACAAATGGAATAATTCAAGAATATTTTAATTACATCACATAATGAATGATTTACACTGCTAAAATGGCAAGGATATGCTAATAGAAACAAATGTCATTTCCCGATGCCATTTGAATGCATTCCTTTGATGTTTTCAAAACAGAGAGATTGCTTTTGTGGAAGATCAGCTCTATCTGCAGGAATCACTGCTCCTGCCATGCCATCCAGAATGCAGAGAGAAAAGCTATATGGTATTTTCTCACTGTAATTTCCTGCATTTTTCTTATTTGTCTGATCTCTGACTGATAGATTGGAAAGGGTTCTGGGTCATCAAAAAAGAGTTCCTTGTTTTATATTTATATTAGGCAGGCTAATATATGGAGCTACTTTTCAGGCTTATCATTATTTCTCTGCATGTTGTTGCCTTCATTTTCCATGTCTGTCCATAACAAAAATGACAATGAAAAATTGAAATGTTTCATTTTAGCTTAAAAAAGGAAAAAAAAAAAATTACATGCGGTGACATGAATTCACTAAGCCTTTCACTTGAATTTGGAAGAGGTGAGGGGGTTTGGTTTGGTTTTTGTTCTTTCACTCAGAAAGTGCAAATCCCATAATTTTGTCCAACTCTACTCATATCTGGTGTTGGGGTAGACACCATTTCTCATTTTCACTTTGTTTTCTTCTACTCATAGCCCTTTGATATCCTCATTCCAGTAAGCAGCAAAATAAGAATTTCTCTGTACTGGGATGCTGACCATGGAGATGCTCTACAGCTTTGCCTGGAATTCTGTAGGCACTGAGCATTAAAGGAAGGAGCTGTGGGATGCATTCTGCTCAATACAATAATATGTTGGTTTATAGCATGTTCCAGCTTACATTTAAATCCATGAGAGGTTTCTCTGTATTTGGACTGAGGCTGAAGACTGTGCCCATTCAAGCAGTTCAGAATTAAGGGTGTAATTCAGTCCCACTGTGATTGGCCATGTGCCTTAGATTGAGCTCCTTATCTAGTTTAAGATGGGATAGTGCTGAAAGCTGGTAACCAGAGTCTCCAACTGAGTTCCCTGTGTCCTTTGGTCACCTTACACACACCAAGTCTCAGAGGCAAGCTGATTTTTCTTTCCTCTCTTTGCTCACCAATGCCTGACTAAATGGGCAGTAGTCTCTGGAAGGTTTTCTGTCCACAGGTGCCTTGTAGGGTTGTTAATTTGGTGTCATATCACTGGCTATGTGAAAGAACACAATAAGTCTAAAAGAAGGGGCTGGAAGCTAAGGACTGATGTGGATTTTTCCTAAATTACTGCAGTTCTGCATTTAAGATTCTTCTGAAGTTGCAGAGCTGGTGCTGAGTGAGAGTCACAACCTTCCAGAGCTGCAGGAAGTTACCCCACTGAGCTGCCTAATCCTGGAATCCAGTGCAACATTTATGGAGAATTATTTCTCCACTGATTGCATTGGTCAGGCTCTGGTTTTTGCTTTGGAGGGCTGGAAGGGGGCAGGAAATGCCCTTTGGTGCTGTGATTCACCAAGGAAAAACCTCTGCAGTTGAGCTGAGGGTATGACCAGATGGCACCATGAGTATTTTGAAGGTGTGAAATACCTGAAGGGTTTTTGAACTTTGCAAATGAGGAATATGAAAACCCTGTAATGGCTTTGAGACCCACTGCTGCTAGAGGAATTCCCCTTATCACTGGAAACCAGCAGCTGAACATCCTGGTGTATAGTAATCATCTTTAACTATGTTACTTGTTCTCAAGCTGTATTATTTTTGGTGACTATCTGTCATGCCCTAATGCATTTCCCCATCTTTTAGCTGTGCTGTAATTATAATTGCTAGGATTAGACTTTAATATTTGTAACACAGATCAGCTTAAAATCCCATTCTCAAACAGGATGAAACGCTACCATATAATTGTAGAAATCTGGTACAAATGAGCTGCAGAAGAATGGGTTACATTGAAATTATTCCTTCCCGTCAAAAAGATGTCAAATACTTGCAGGATACCTGTAAAGCCATTCATTGTACAGATTATACTGTTTGTGTTTGGGTGTGGAAGCAAGAATCCAAGGTGTAATTTTGCCCCAAGGTTTCTTGACCACTCAGACGTATCCTATTAAAAACATGCTCATCTTCTGGGGATCTCAGCTGTCCAAAACAATCTCTCAGGGCCAAAAAATGGGTTTTTTCCCTCCATTTTTTAATGTAACACATCATTTATACCTTCAGTTACATACCTGTCATCTGCCTAAAACTAGTGCTGTCACAGCAGCTACAGAGGGAATTGTCTTGTCTATGGCACATTTGGGTTATTATTCTTTCACACCAATATTTGTGCTGACCAAAATATTATTTTGCAAGAAAACAATTCTTGCAAAGCCAAGCTGAGATTAGATACCTTGATAAGAAGCATTTATTCTACAGTTAGCTATTTAAAGTTCCTTGGAAGCTCCAAAATGGGCCCAGACATGATAACTTTCTGGAGATTTTCCCAGAGATTTGAGTCCTTCACTCACCCTTCCCCAGAGCACACAACTCCATCCCAGCAGAGGCGAAGGAATGGCATCTTTATATTCTCTTGCAGATCTTTATATACAGGTTAGTATTCAAAGGTAGTTTACAAAAGAAGAGAAATCCCATTTTTGAATCAAATCAATGCCAAAATCAAGTAAAGAGAGACAGGATTCCATGCAAGGAATATAAAAACCCTGTTAAATTAGATACAGGTGTCGCTTCCAATAGTCTGGGTACACACTGTCAGCAGATCCAGATTTCTAATATACTTCCATTTCCCTCAGATGAACCCAGCTGGAGTGAAGCACCACTCACTGCCCATGCATTCATTTAAAGCACAAATAATGACAGCTGGAGCAGCTCGTTGTTCTCAGCTTAATGAAAGCAGCCTGCCAAATTCACAGCTGGGAACCTGGCAGTAGTTGTTATGTCACCAGCCCCATTTCACTCATGCTACCAAATCTAAGGCTCTGAGAGACCCCATCACATACATTTCTTTATTAGAACTTTTCATACACCACTAATGCATCTTCAAAACACTGTATTTTTTCCCCTACTGAAATCAAACTTGAAAGGCAAGGTTTGGACATACAAATCACAGTACCTGAGAGGCACAGTCCCCCAGCTCCACTGTTCCCAGGCGTTGACCAATGTCCTTGGAGTTTCCAGGAGAGGAACCAGATTACAACTGACCACGGTGAGACCTGGCCCCAGATTTACATCCCTCTGGAATGATGACCCTTGCAGAAATAGCTTTGGACAGGTAATAGGATTATCAGGAGGGAATTAGAAAATTCTGTTCATTAGTTTGAGCCAATGAAGCTACAGACTGGAGAGAGGTTTAAAGGATTTGGTGCATAAATATAATTGGGCAGGGGGAAAAACAACTGTATCCCAAGAGCCATCACAGATGGCACCTTGCTATTGCAGAGCCAGGTGCATTAAATATTCTGGAGACGTACCAATGGATTATAGGAATGGTGCAAGAACCCATTACTGGGTGCAGGAAAGCTGCCCTTATTTCTGAGCTATGATGGACTCCAGTTTATAAAAAGAATAGAATTATTTACAGAAATTATGCTAATATTTAAATAAATCACCCAGTCTAGTTACTCATTAAGCACTGAGAGAGCTCAAATGAAAAAAGGGTGAGGGAGAATTTTGTTCTGTGGAAGACTATAAATGTCTTATGTGGAATGAAGGAACATTAAATTCTAAGGATTTTAAATGGAAGGTTTGGATTTAAATACCTGCATCTGTGGCTGTGACATGCAGCTGGATGCTCTGCGCAGAATCCCAGAATGGTTTGGGTTGGAAGGGACCTTGCAGCCCATGCAGTGCCATGCCCTGGTGTGGCTAGGGACACCTTCCACTATCCCAGGTTGCTCCAAGCCCCATCCTTGGACACTTCCAGGGATCCATGGGCAGCCACAGCTTCTCTGAGCAGCCTGTGCCAGGGCCTCTCCATCCTCACAGGGAAAAATTTCTTCCTAACATTTAATCTGTATCTCTCATCTTTTAGTTTAAAGACATTCGTCGTGTCCTGTCACTCCCTGTCTAACCAAAATCAGCAAACTTGAACCAGTTAAAAATACTTATATGAGAACATCCTTCACAGGTGCAGTCTTGAGGGTCGTTGCCCCATGTGAATATTAAGCAAGAGTTGCAGGGTACCCAGAGCTTTTAGAATTGTGTCTCTGGAGGGGTCGCTGGAGTGGCTGTCTGGTTGCTTTGGTTATCCAAGCTTTTGTTCTGATTACACTGAAAGCTCTTCAGAGGTCTGAGTTTTTGCTAAGATCAGCCCTCATTAAGCATCATCTTCCTGACATCAGAAAGGCTGGCACAAGGAAAGCCCCTCTTTCTCCCAGTGGGGGAGGATCAGGCTAGGGGACATTTTAACAATTGGATGTTATCATGTCCATTGGAGATGGTGTGCCCAGGAGGGCTGAGAGGGCTGGCCCATGTCAGTCAGGGCCACTGTCCTTGTCTGGGCCCTGGAGAGACATGGTTGTGTCCAGTCAGGGGGTGCCCAGAACAGGACTGGTGTGGGCTGGACTCACAAGTCCATGGAAGGGATGATCAAGGGATTGGAGCATCTGCTGTCTGAGGAGAGACTGAAAGAGCTGAGTGTGTTCAGCTTGGAGAGCAGAGAGCTTAAGGGGGTCTCATCCATGTCTGTGGATATTCAGCGGGTGGGAATGAGGAAAAGAGAGAGGCTCTGGGCAGTGGTGCCCAGGGACAGGACAAAAGACAGTGGGCACAGACTGAAACACACAAAATTCCTGTGAACTGAAGAAAATGCTTTTTTACCATGAAGGTGGGAATGGAGGAATTAAGAAGCCTCTGTCCTTGGAGTTTCTCAAATCCAGCTGGTGAGTCCTGGCCACCCTGGTCTAGCTGGCCCTGCTCGAGCAGGTGCTTGTACTGGAGCCCCAGTTTTAAAAAACCCCATAATTCTGCTAAAATGGCAACAGTTTCTTTTAAAATGAGACATTCCAGTTCAGCGGCATTTTTTCCCCAACTTCTAGTATTTATGTAGAATTTTATATATAGTCGTTCCTTTCTTGTTTGCCTGGTTTTGTTCCCGGTTTGGCCTAGCAGAAGGTGTTCCTGTCCAAGGCAAAGAGCTGGAATAGGATGAGCTTCCAGCACAATCCACTCCGGGATTTCAGGACTGTGTGTCTCTCTTTGCTAAACCTGCCCTGAGTTATTTCCTGCCTGATATGCATGAGCTGCCAGAGATTCCAGGTTCTTAATTCCTTTCATTTCCTTATGGACTATCTGAATGTCTTTTATGAGATAGTTTTAATTTTTAATGGAAGATCCCATTAAATTGAGAAGCTCACTTAGCTTGCTTCCAAAGGGCAAACCAAGAAATTTCATTCCCTGTGAAAACATATAAAATCATAGCATTGTCTAGGCAGAATTCAATTCAAAAGTGAAGGAGCTGATGGAGCTTTTCCATGGCCCCACAGCAGGACACAGGCAGGGGAAAGGGGCCAGGCACGGAATTCCTAAATATAAACTTGTCAGCTTCCAGTTCTTTGAAGATTAAAGCTAGCATGGTTCTCCCTGCTGCAAGTTTCAAGAACACAAAAATCCATAAAAAATTTCCAGTGTGCCTGTGGAGGAAACCTTTTAAATTAGCATGTCCAAAAAAGCTTTGTCAGGCCTAAAAATGTCATTTTGAAACAATTTAGTCTTCTCCAACTGGTAAGCTTTATTCAATTTTTTAGGGCTTTCCTGTTTTTCTCTCTCTTTTTTAATTATTATAATATATTTCCTCCTTGCTTCTGGTGAGATATCACTTCTACAACTTTAGGTTAAAACATGCCCTTAATGTTTTTAATTTAGATTATATTTTCACTGCTAGCAACTGGACTGTACATGCCACAATTTCAAACAAAATATCTGTCAAAATATTTGATTACTGGTATTATTTTGGGATAGTTTTATATTTAATGATGAAGAATTTGCAAGAATATCTACAAATTTACAGTTGTTCACCACTGGCTCAAAAAGCCCCTTTGTTGCAAAAAGATGGATTAAATCTTGACGTGGAAACTGATCCTAAACCAATTAGGAAAACTCCATTTGTTTGCATCCCTGTCATTAAGTTAAGGAAGATTAAAATGCAGAGCAGGAAGAGGAGCAATGTGTTTCTCATACCCAATTTGTCATGGAGCTGCAGTGTCCTGACCTGTTGCAGGTCTGAGGCAAAACAATGCTTAAAATTGTGGCCAATTTAGTTGTTTTCCATGGAAGAGGTCAAAGCAGCTATGAAGAGACTGGTCCCACCTTCCCACTCCCCAACCATTAACTGCCCTTCTGTATTTTTGCAGTTTATGTCATTATCAATGTGGTGGTTTTCCTCCCACTGTGGCCCAGTCTCCATCACCCAGGACGATGGCTCCATTCCTGCCAGCAGTGACCTTCCTGCCTTTGAAGAGGGATGAGGAGAAGCCATATTCCCAACTGCCCATTCTCTGGCACAGGACTTCTGCTCCTTCATTCTGGCTGCCCACTCTGTGTGTCCCAAGCAATGCCAGGCCTGGATAGCCTTGGCAAGGTTGGACTCAAACGCTGGTGTGCAGTGGAGATGTCTGCATACCCTCATGGGCTCAGGAGCACCTGAGAAGCTCTAGATCAGGGGCCAGAGGGGCTTGGGCACTGTAAGGTTCCTTTAGGGAGTCATTGCCTCGGTTTTAGGAGTGCTTTATACATTGAGTTGAGTCTGTGTGCTACCAAAATCTGTTCCAGCAAGGGTCAATGCAAAACTGCTGAAAGCATTTGGTGAGGGGTGTAACTGCTTCTGGAGCCCATCATTACATCCAGAGGGAGGATCGTTATCCATATCCTACTTCATTATGACTTTGTCTTCCAGACAGGTTCACCAAGCTTTTTTTGATTTTCCTTTTTTCCCCAAACATTTGGCCTTTCTTCAGTCCTTTATTTTGCACCATTCCACATTGCCCGTAGAGGTCGGTGTTTGCCTGGGAAAGCAGAGCCAGTTGCCTGGAACTCTGCAGTCTCCATCCATACGTCCTCTTTGCTTCAGAGGGGCTTCCCCCCCTTCCCTGTGATAAAAACGTTACATTAATCTCTTCTGAGCTTCTAAAGACATACCTGCAAAGGAAGATGCCGGTGTGTATATTGCTACGTCATTAGGCTTGGCTACCTTTAACAGATTTGAGAAGATCAAACATGCTATTTAAAAAAACTCCCAAGAACTTGACATTTAGTAAAATATTTGCATATCTTAAAGAGGAGTAGAGGATAATTCAGAGTGATAACTGTGTCTGTAGTTATCATCTTACATATATTTTATGCAGTCATTTGCTGGCTGAGCACATGAAACATTTTCAGTGATGTGCTTGTGGAACGAAGTGCTCCCTCTTTATCCTGACATCCACCCCCGTGATTTGTCAAGGGTAGTAACAGCATTACACCAGCTGTCTGCCAGAAATTATGGAAGATATTTGGGGAAATAAACTCTGTGGAGTGCTTTTGAGTGAGGGAAATATAAAAGCCATCACTCAACAACCCAGCTGTGTTTTGTAAGGACTTTTCCTTCAAATGTTCTTTATGTGAACCACAGGTAAATGTTCCTAAATACATTTAAATATGTTATTTTAAATTATTTTTTGCATGCTTCCACATGGAAAGTGAGGTGACAATTAATAATATTTTAATTAATAGTTCTTTGTGTTCTTGTGATTAAAATGGCCTAAACCCCCTTTGAAGAGTGACCATTCTATAAAAATGAAACCAACTGATTTAACTGGATAGTTCTTGGGACTCTATTCATTGGAGAGTTTCTATGGAGGATAGATTATAAATGAAATGATTGTGGAAAGTGTGGTGCACCTAGTGCTTTTGGAAATCTACTTGTGGAAATCTTCAGCTAAAAGCACTTATACATAATTTTAATATTCCTTTTCTCTCCTTAAAGGTCTCCTTAAAGCATCTTTGCAGTGGCTGAGAGATACTAAATGTTGAAGTCCTGTTTGTACCCAGGTGTGCTCCCCCTAACTTTTTATTAAATTAACTTCCCAATCCTCCTTTTTTAATTTATTATTATTATTTTTAAATAAGTGCATCAGACAGCATGATGTATGCTTTCTCAATCTACATCTAGGCAAGTGAAGATCGCTCCCTTTCAGATTTTTTTGGAATCTGAAAGAGTTTTGTTTCTTTTGAAGC